TGGTGCACCACCAGCAGGGAGGGAGAGCTGGGGGAGGCCAAGAGAGCGGTCAATTCAGGCTCCGCCGCCCCTTCACGCGGCCGCGCGGCACACTGAACCGGGACGGGCGGGGGGTACGTACGAGAAGTTGAAGTCAAGGTGCAGGTCGGCAATGCAGGTGTCGTTGGCACCGCAGTTCTTCTCGAAAGGAACCTTGGAAGGGTTGGTTGGAAAGAGGAATGAGAACAGGCAGGAGTGACAGCAATCAGACCCCCAGCTCCCCCAGTACCCCCCCTGTCCTGCAGCACTGGTCCAACTGGCAGAATAACACTTCCTCGCACAATCCAGCCAGGCAGGGGTTCTCCATCCACCGTCCACTGGCCTTGTTCCAACTGGGCCCTTAATTCCCAGGGCTGCTTAGTGGCTGTAACTGATTTCCTTGCTGGTATAGACTGGTTTCTACACTTGGTCCTTGGGTCTAAGAATACGCCTATAGCGGCAGGGTGTGGCAATGTGTCTGACACGCCCACGAGGGGAGTGTCACTCTATCTGGCACACCCACAATGGGAGTGACAATGTATTGGGCCCGCCCACGATGGGAGGGGCACTGTGTCAGACCCGCCCACCGTGAGTCGGTGCTCAAGTCTGATTGGTCAACTCCAGCTCACACACCTGAGTGAGGGCGAAAGGGTCCTGACCTTCCCCCATGAGCACAGGGATCGATCCTATTCCAAAAGCTGGCCTGGAGTAGAAATGTGAAATAAATCAGCCTATGATTGAGAAGTCGGCTGCAGCACAATCCTGAGGCTGTGAAACACTGCAGTAAGGAATTAATTTCAGCAATTACATTCTGTCTGTTATATCTCTGTCATGTGCTCCATGACTATTCCTCTAACGTTATTCTAACTGCAGTCATGGTAATTTTTTTCCACAGACTGCAGGGAAAGAGGCGCCCAAACTCGTGACCTGCTGGTCTGGTCCCGGTTTTCATCCTAACTCATCTCTTAACCTCTGGAGGCCGCTGCGTTGAGGAGAGCTCGAAAACCTTGCAGACACAGCGCCCCCTACAGGACGAGGACAGACCCCTCCCCACCGCTGCTGCAGGGCGCACCTCCCTGCCGAATGTCCATGTTGAACATACCGCTGCGAGAGAGAGAGGGGCTTACCTCGATGTACTCGACGTTCCTGCTGTCGATGTTGAGGATGGGGGTCAGAGCAGGGGAGCTGGGGCCCTCCGTCTGCGAGAAGGTCAGTTTGATCTTGACAGGAGAGACCGTGTCCTTGACGCAGTTCTGCAAAAGAACGGTGGGGAGGTTTCAGGGCAGCTTGCGAAGCGTATGGCTTCGGGGGCCGCGTGTTCGCGTTGCTCTGCGGCTGGCTCTCCCAGATCGGGACACGGCGAGAGGGCGAGGGCGTTTTCATGGGCGCCGCCGTGGTTTTCCTGTCCTATCCCAGCTCCTCAGCTCGCGGGAGGTTTTAGGGACATGAACTGAGCTGCCACTAGGAGGCACCGCTTCAGGCTGAAATACAGTGACACCTGGAGTGAAGTATAAAGAGAGAGGACGGCACACCGGGCCCCACTGGAGAGCGTCATGCAGTCAGACTCAGGATGTGCACAGATTACAACAGAATAAGTGATCAATAGATCAATAGAGGTGATACAGACTGT